TCCTTCCTTCCTTCCAACCTTCCTTCCCTCTTTCCTGCATGCCTGCCTGCCTTCCTCTTTCTCCTCTCTTTGCGCTCTCATTCTCAGTGCATACTTAAATAAATGCCTCAAGCTCCTGACTCCCAGTCCATTTCATAAATGGTATTTTCTGGGTCAAGTATTTTGTTTAGTGGTTAAGATGCACATGTCTGGGCCCAGCGTGGTAGCCTGGCGGCGACAGTCTTCACCTTACACATGCCAGGATCCCATATGGGCACCCGTTTTAATCCCAGCAACCCTGATTCCCATCCAGGTCTCTGCTTGTGGTCTGGGAAAGCAGTAGATCACAGCCCAAAGCCTTGTAACCCTGCACCTATGTGGGAGACCCAGAAGAAGCTCCATGTTCTTGGCTTAGGATCAGTGCAGTTCAGGTTATTGTGGCCACTTGGGGAGTGTATCATCAGATGGAAGATCTTCCTCTCTGTCTTTCCTCCTCTCTGTATGCCTGACTTTACAACTTAAATAAAATAAATCTTCAGAAAAATATGCCCATGTCTCATATCACAGTGACTAAGTTTGAGTCCTGTCTCTACTCCTTTTTCCACTTCCTACAAATGTGCACCCTAGGAGGGAGCAGGTGGTGGCTCCACAGCTGGACATGTGCCTCGTGGGCAGTAAAGATAGATGACATTCCCTCCTCCTGTGTTCAGTTGTTGTGAGCATCTGGGAAGTAAAACACCAGATAACAGCTCTGTGACTTTGATTATTTCAAGTTATGCCCTTCTCTACATTATTCTTTACAAATAATGAATTCAGAATTGTGTCCAGACTCAATATAGCATGAAAGGAACTCCCAACCTTACGTGACATTTTTTCCCAGATAATTAAATTTCTGTCTGCTTCTGTATCTCTTGGTTGCAATTACAGAAGAAGAAACTGCTGCAGAGTTCAAATGTTTCTAATACACATAGAAGTGCTTCTTCCTAGAGATAAGAAATCTCAGTCTTAGACTTCATACTGATTTCTTGCAACACCTGTATTCTTGAGACACTCCATCACTCAGGGCTCTCAGTATTCAGAGATGTTCAAGAATCATTGTATCTCATAACTAGTCCTGCAAAGAAAGGTTAAGCTAGCTTTAATGACACAATCTACATGGGAATGTTTAATCATAAGTGTATCAAATGGGAAACAGGTCACTGAATTTCATCTTGAGCTCATAACCTAAATTTGCCTAAAAGAAAGATACATGAAGCATGTAAATACAGCCAAGACAAATGCAAAAAAAAATGTCAAAGAAAAAAAATAAGACATTCTTGTGTATCACTGGATATGATGCTTTAGTGAAATTATTCAAATCATAATTGAGATGTGGGAGGAGTCGATATAGAAAAAAAATTTGAAGGAAAGATAAAGAATAGATATGCTGGTTCCACTAGGTCTGAGATTGTGTGCTGGATGTTCTGTTCATATGACAGAGGCTCAAAAGGACTGCTATCCTGGATGTACAGCAAAGCAGGGTAACTAAATTTGTCATACAAATAAAAAGGAATACAGAAATAGAAAAGAGATTTCCAAAATCTTTACTATATAACACAGTATCTGTTAACAGTAAAAATTAGTCTAAATGTGATTGGCAACTTTTATGTACCAACAGTTTTCTAAAGCCGTGGCATGCAGCACGCCCACATTCTGACGACTCAGAAAATCATTTCCCAGTCTTGCCTTTCCTCTGATTTTCAGAGTCAAACACTGAATTTACTACTCAACACACCCATTTTGTAATAGCCTTTAAATGATATTATGTGCAATATAAAACAAAAACTTTCTCAATCTGCGCTATAATACTGTTGATCTCTCTCAAGCCAATATCCTTGATCCCAAACTTCCTAATCTCAGACACTCAGATCCAACAAACATCATCCATCCCAAAGCAACTCATCACTAATACTGCCAGAGTGACAAAAGCCATCATTTCTCCACTGGTGCACATTTTTTTTCCTCTGTGACTTCTAAATGTATTCCTACATGACAACTTAAATAATGTTCTTAGAGAATATGACAGCCTGGTTGAACCTTTTGAAAGTGTGTCAAAACACACAACACTCCTCCTTCTGCAGGCTCATTAAAAGTGATCCACCACAGCTAAGTCAGGCTTTTGAGAAAGAGCAGCATCTGGCACCTGCTTCCACCCATAGCCTCACTGCTGTGATTCTCCCACTGCTCTGTCTGCTCTGGCCTTCTTCATCTACTGGTTGCTGTTCAACAGCACCAAGCATGCTTTATTTCAGAGACTTTAAACTTGTTGTCCCTTCTGTCTGAAACAGTCTTTCAGCCAGATCCTTCCTCTGCTGCCTCCGTCACTTCATTCAGAACTCAGCTCTGTGGCTACCCCAATGCAGTCCTCTTCACTTGTCCTTCCTGATTATCAACCACTTTCCTTTACGTTATTTTCCTTGTAATATTGCTTAATGATTAATTCCACAGCTATCTGTAGGTCCATTTGTCTTACCTGTTAGAATGCCAGTTTTACAAGAATGATAATTTGTTTGATATTACACGCTCAACAATAGACTTTTTAATATTCTATTAATTTTTACCTTTATTAATTTTAATATATACTTAACACATTATATGCTTAGTATTATTTAATAGTCCTGGATAACTAAATAAGTGTGCCATTGCAGTAGCTACACATGGTAAGAATTATTCTACTAATGAAATTATTGGAGTTTACAAAGAAGAAGTAAGCTCTTCAGGTTCAAAAAGCTGGAAAGTGGTCACACTTGAAAATGAATCCAGTTCCAATTGAATTCAGTTGGAGCTGTTTATCTTCTCCTATTGACCATTAGAAAGAAAACCCCAAAGATAAGAAATTACACACTATGTGCCCATATAGGATTAAAATGTCGTTTGGGGAAGAGATTTGAAATAATTCGATACAAATTGGATGATTGCACATTGGGTGACATAGGTATAGACAAACATTCATGAAATATTAATAAGCTTGATTTCACCAGAGGAGAGAGTTATGTTTAGCAAATGTTGCAACCTAGGCTACCTATGTCACATCCAAGACATATGAAGCAAAATGCTATTTGTAATATGTTCTCTATACACTTGCTGCAATATATCATTGATCTCCTCCTCATGCTACTGCTCATATTGGTATAGTCAGCCTTGAAACAAGAATCCAATTTTCTTATGCATTTTCTTACTGTCCCCGGAGAGGAGGCATTTCTATTTCATGCTCTACTCCAAAATGGAAGAGTTAGAAGGAAGGGCTTTAATCCTCAGATGCGTTATTATTGCTGTTATTTTCTTGTGTCGTTGTTAGGAAGGCACAGAGTGTAGATTTCAGGCTTATCTGTTGACGGGATGACATGTATGTATGTACGTACGTACATGTACAGGAATGCTTTCCTGTTGATTTATTTTCCACTTTAAGGCTATTGAAGTGATGATATACTTAAGAACTGAAATAGAATGTTTTTAGTGCTTACATATATGTATGAGAAATACTCTAACTTAACAACAGTAATAAAATACTAGTGATTTATAAGAGTAACAAACTAATTGTAGCTGTGTAGAAGTTACTATGCAATATTTAATTTTTAATTTTTCAAATAAACACGTTTGTGTGTAGGACACATTGATCTTGTAAACAAAGAGCTGATTGTGTTTCTTATTAGATGCCTTCAGAGTATTCACTTAAATATTTGTAAGACATTGAAAGTTATATTGCTTTGAGATTTTCTCCTCAGAGCAATTATTTTCTTAATCTTTTTGTGTCTCACAATACAGCATGTATATTAGAATACAAACAGGATACTATAAAAAACACACTCACAACAAAAAAGAATGAAGTTGATGTCTTACGATTGTATTAACCCTTGTCTATACCCCTGTAGAACAGCGTCATTCCTGTTTTAGCTTGCTAAATTCCATAACGTAAGGTGAATTCATCCTATGGATGTGTAGCAATTGAAATTACGATGTCTTATGTGGTTATAAAGTAAATTAAAGTTATGTTTTATTATAAAGTAAAAGAGAAAGAAGGGAAGAGTGGGAAGGGAGGGAGGCGAGAGGGAAGTACAGTTTTCTTAGAATTGCACCTATGAATTAGTTTATTTTTATATTAATAAAATCAAATTTAAAAGAGAGTAACTAAATGTTTGTCGTAGTGTTTCTCTGAAGTTGTAATAAGGTATAAGAGTGATGCTCTTTGTGTGTGTGCACATTCAGTTTTACTGTAACAAAACAACTTGTATCATGTAACACTTGAAACTGAGCATCATCTTTTCTTTTCCAGTGAAATAAACAGAACATTTGAAAACAAAGAAGAACAAAATTCCAACAGCTTGTGGCACCTGAAAGGAGCACATCATGTTTGCATCTTTTTCTGTTGTTACTCTTCCTTCTCCTGAGATTCTTTCAGTATAAGATAATGGCTCCCTTGCTGGTAATCCATTCTGTGTACCATCCGTAGCACAACTTTATTTCTCTCAAAGCCTTGTATGCAAACACAGAGAGAAGCAAAGAAAAGCAAACTCAAAATCAGTAATTTAGAGAGGAATTAGGGAACCAGAGTGGAGAAGACAAAAACTTCTGGCAAATGAAGGCAGTGGCCAAATCAATTACACAAAAGTGCTGAAGAAAGAAGGGCACAATTGAAGGCCATCAAGGAAAAAAAGGTCAAGTTCTGAGATATCAGAGAATGCAATTGTTGCAGATAGAAGCTCACTGAAGCTTAATGAATAACAAGAGTTATGTTTCTTCTATAGAAAAAGACTAACATTAGCTTTGTTGGAAATATAATAATGTTCACTTCTCAATGCCGTGAGCATAACAAATACTGAGCTCTAGAGAAGTAGCATTCACCTCAACTCTATTTATGACTCAACCTCGGGGTCAGTTGGAAATTATTTAATTCATTACTCTCAAGTCATGAAATGCTTTCAGATAACTACATTTCCTAATGGGAAGTTTTTGTTCACACCACTTGGGCTGCCACAACTGAAAGAGAAATGAAGTTAGGAAATCACTCTTCAGTAACCAGGTTTATACTTGAGGGATTGACAGATGAGCCACGACTCCAGCTCCCTCTCTTCCTGCTCTTTCTCCTGATTTACATGGTCTCCATTGCAGGAAACTTGAGCTTGGTCTTTTTAATCAGGGTCTGTCCTCAGCTCCACACACCTATGTACTATTTTCTCAGTAACTTGTCCTTCATAGATCTCTGCTACTCCTCTGTCATAGTCCCCAAGATGCTAATGAACTTTGTGTCAGAAAAGAATTTCTCCTCTTTTCCTGCGTGCATGGCCCAGCTCTTCTTTTTTTGCTTCTTTGGTATTGGTGACTCCTACATGCTGACAGCCATGGCATACGATCGCTATGTTGCCATCTGTAATCCCTTGCTCTACAATGTGAAAATGTCCCCCAGCATCTGCTTCCTACTGATCTCCAGTGTGTACACGATGGGGGCATTTGGAGCCGTGGTCCACACCAGCTACATATCTAGCCGTTCCTTCTGTGGAACTAATGTTATCCATCACTACTTCTGTGATATCCTTCCACTTCTGGATATTTCTTGCTCAAGAGACAGCACTAAGGAGCTTCTCGTGATGATTCTGGTTGGATTTAACGTACTTGCCTGTGTGCTGCCCATCTGCATCTCTTACACCTTCATCCTTTGCAGCATTCTGCGTATCCACTCAGCTGAAGGCAGGTCCAAAGCCTTCAGTACCTGCAGCTCCCATCTTGCAGCTGTCGGGGTGTTCTATGGCTCCATTATCTTCATGTATTTTAAGCCCCTTACCGGTAACACCATCCAGGAGAAGGTGGCTTCCGTATTTTACACCACGGTGATTCCCATGATTAACCCCCTTATCTACAGCCTTAGGAATAAGGACGTCAAAGAAGCTCTGGAGAAATTGTGTGGTAGTAGAATATGTTCTGAGTCTTTGTAGAAAATGAAACTGTCAAAAATTTGCTCTTTTCAAAGTGGATTTTGTCCTTCATCTCTGCCTGTAAGAGCAAAGAGTTTCAAATCAAAGTCCAAATTAAGCTAAGATCATCAATGGTTTATGTCTAGCATCGTCACCCTTCATCACTCAACTCCTCAGCACTTATATTCTCCTCCGAGTACTCTTCTATCTAGTGTTTTAACATGCATCACAGACATATATCATATCATGTCATATCAACTTGTATCTAATCATGAGAAAAATTAAGTGAATAGTGTATAAATCCAAAAGAAATAAAATCGTTGTATTAAAGGGATACCTATTTCTCCATGTTTGTTTCAATACTTTTCACAATAACCGAAGCATAGAATCAAACAATGTGTCCATCAGCTGAATGAATAAAGATAATGTAAAAAAAAAAAGACACAATCTAATATTACAATTAAAAAAGAATAAAGTCCTGACATTTGCAAAAAAATAATGGAGAAACTAAAAAACATCATGTTTAATGAAATACGTCAGACACAAAAGGGCAAATACAACATGTCTTCCTTTACACTTAGGAACTTAAAAAGTTAAACTCGATATGTGTGCTGGCATTATAGTTCAAAAGGCCAGAACCTCAACCCACAAGCACTAGAATACCAGACCGGGTCCTCATTCAAGCCCCAGCTGATTCAGTTCCCATCCAGCTTCCTACTTAAAGCCTTAGACCAGCAACAGAGAATGGCCCAAAGCCTTGGGATGCTGCATTTTTTTTTTTCAGATTAGCTCAACTGTGGCCATTGCTGCCATGTGGGGAGTGAGCCAGCAAATGGAAGCTCTTCCTCTGTGTCTCTCCTTCCCTCTATAAATCTGCTTTTCCAATAAAAATAAATAAATATTTAAATAAAAACGACTAACTATGAGCACAGATTGCTGGTTACTAGAGACTTACAGGGACAGGAAGGATACAAGGAATTTGGATTCAAAGATGCAACAGAAACTGCATATGATATATAGATTGTGACAAATATTCTAAAAGCACATATTAACAATAAGGAAAGTTGGATGCACAGTGTTTGAGGAAACTTTGTGCAACCTCACAATTTTTCTTTTGTGAATTTTAAACTATTCTGAAGTTTAAAGGATTTTTTAAATCTCAAACAATAGAAATAAGTTTAGGCATACTATGTAAAAGAACTAACTAAGAGTACTTTAAAATATCAGTATCATAAATCTAAAGAGCAATTGTAGATTAATATGTACTAAATAAAATTGATAACCACAGAGATGTGAATAAAAATGAAAGGAAGGAAGGAAGAAAAGAAGGTAGGAACAAAGTGGAAGGAAGAAAGGAAGGAAGGAAGGAAGTTGGAAGGAAGGAAGTTGGAAGGAAGAAATGAAGAAGGAGGAAAAAGAAGGAAGTTCATAGAATTTTATCTATGAACTACAATGAACCTCTTCATATTAGTAACATGTAAACTATGGAACCAGTGAGATTGTTTGGTATTAATTCTCACACATTTGTTATGACCCTGGATCTAATGCATTAAAAATTATCCTAAAAGGAAAAGAAAAAGACAATGAACCCGTGACTCACATTAGGCGGACAACTGATGGCATTTAAACACGAATTAGATTTGAATCAATGTTGAACTGAATAAATGTGGAGATTGTTGTGGTTTTGTAGGAAAATGCCTCTTCTTAGATGTGCACTGAGGTTTTAGAGATAAAGTGTTATGATATCTAAACAGCTCTCGAGTGACTCAGCATGTGTGTATGCTGTCTGCATGCATCTAGTGTAATATAGTCAAAAATGCTAAAGCCAAGGTGTCAAAACAATAACTGGTAAATTCCTGTGAGTGTATATGAATAATCACTTTCATTTTTGAGATAGTTCTGTAGGCTTTAAATTACTCAAGGTAGAAGTTAGAGAGAGAAATAACAATTTTGCTGCTTACCTGTTAATCATGGTAACAAATGACAGGTGGAATGGTTCATACATGATAGGATATGGGAGACTGACAGTTAACACATGGTAGCATATGGCAGGTGGGTAGTTAACATGTGGTAGCATATGACAGGTGGGCATTTAACCTGTAAAAGAACTAACCAAGAGTACTTTAAAATATCAGTATCATAAATCTAAAGAGCAATTGTAGATTAATATGTACTAAATATGGCAGGCATATGGCAGGTAGAACAGTTAACCTGTGGTAGCATATGACAGGTGGACAGTTAACACGTGGTAGCATATGACAGGTGGACAGTTAACATGTGGTAGCATATGGCAAGTGGAACAGTTTGAAAGATACTCAATAAATCAAGTAAGATAAAATCTAACAAGGATAAATACAGCAAAGGAAGTAAAAAGCGTTAGAATTCTGCATAGGTCTTGAAGGTAAGGCCTTAGTGTTTTTTTGGATTGAATATGGGATGTGAATTGTAAGAGAATGAAGATAGTGGAAGATATCTTCATTGTTTTAGGCAACAACAACTTTTAAAACAGAGTTACAGTCCAAAGATACGGAAAATTCATGAAAGGAGCTATTTTGACAAGTGGACTTTAGTTTCTTATTTATGGTCATTGTTACCTTGTTATTAAAACAAACACGTTTTTGAGGTACATGAGTTCTGTGTGTTTTGTTCATATATCAGTTTGTGTTATTGAAAAAAAAGTGTTCCCCAAGAAATTAATTTATATTTAAAGAGACCACACAGTGCCAATAGAACTAAAGTGAGTAAATGGGTGGTATCTGTAGATGGTGATAATTATGCATACACTCATACATTTCAGAGGAAAGCAACTTTCACATTCAGCAAAGAACTCTTCTACTACAACTAGATTAGGACCAAAACTGTGCTAAATGCCAAAATATCGGCTAGGGTTGAAACACAAAATTGAAATATTACAGACTTCCTCTCGTGGTTTGATTCTCTGCTTTGGAAAGTGTTGAAAAAATTGTTCAAATGGCAATAGATGACAGTTTCTGAGTATCTCTAGAAAGCTATCTTTGAGTTCTCTGCTTTCCTTGTCCTAGGACTCACTTGTCAAAACTATAATTTAACACTTAATCTCAAAATCTTGAGGAGTATTTTTCCACTTGCCTTGTGTATAAGCATTGGAAAAACAATGTAGAAGTTGTTTTGTCAGTTATTCTGTAACCATTTATAAAACTACATTGTACCTGTAGTTGTTCAAATATATCTTCGATAACTAAATGAGAAAAATAAATAAACAAATAAGCAATAAGATGACTAGGGAGATGTATAGACTCACATTCAGATAGCATATATATTTATCCAGAGGTTTTTCCTGGATTGTTAGAACACAATGCTTTGAAATTATCGGGACTTCTGGAACAAACATTCTAAAATACAGAAATGCCATTTCTCAATAGTTTTAAAGAATACTAATAACTAAAAATCAACAGAAGGTAGATCAAGTACTTGAACTCTTGCCAGCCAGGCGGAAGAACTCTATGAAGCTCCTGGCTCCAAATTTTGGCCTTACTCCATCATGGCTACCTGAGGAGTATAAATCAGATGGTTCTCTCTCTTTTTCTCTGTCTCTCCAACTTTCTTGAGTTAAAAAAAAAATCTTTCTTTTTTTTTTAAATAGGGTAAGAGAGAACATTCATTCATTGATACACTCTCCAAATGGCTGCCATGATCAAAGCTGTGCTAGCGTGAAGTTGGAAGCCAGGAGTTTCATGCAGGTCTCTCAACAATTCTCCAAGAATGAACACAATGAAATGGAAACCATATTATACAGCAAATTAAAAAAATAGGTTAGGAAATGGTGAAAATGCTGACCTACATGACAGCAAAAAGAAGCAAGCATGAACTCTTTACTTATCACAACTATTAACCCCTAAGTTACAAGTTAACAACTCTAATTCTGCTGAACATACATATATACTAAAGTAAAAAAAAACTATCAAATGGATGGAGTATAGCAAAATGTGGTTTTGAACCGTGGCAGTGGAATTTTAAAGATAAGTAAAGGAGGATGCACTAATGATCAGGTGACAATGGATTAGAGTTGAGGCAGCAGTACAACCTCGTATTTAGCTATAGCAGCGTTCGTCAAATCCATTTGTTTTGGTTATCTTTGATTTTCCATATATAAATGTTGTAGTGTTTCCAGTTGTAGACTTTGCCAATATTTTGCTTGATTGACAAATAAGTTTTCCATTGTTTTTTCCAAATGTAGTGGTGCTGTGCTTTCATGAGCTAGCGTTTGACCTATCACTTCAGATCCCAGTTAAGAAGTCTGCATTCCTTGTCACCTTGGTCCAACACCCACCCGTGGCTTCTAACTCCAGCTTCCTGCTAGTGCAGAACCTATGCCATGGCATTGATGAGGTGATGAACTCACGTGGCATACCTGATTTGAATTCCTGGCTCCCACATCAATCTGGACCAAGCCCTAGTCACTTAAGGCATTTGGGGAGTGAACTAGCAGAAGGATCTCTCTCTTTCTCTTCTCTTTTTGTCTGTCTCACTGCTTCTCAACAAATACACCACACTAACCTGCACCAATTTCATACAGGAACCATTTTTTTTGCAGAAAACTTTCTTCTTTCAAAATATAAGAACAAACAATTCTGTCCACTGCAGATGCCATGTATACCTCTATTCCAGGAATGAATAAAACTTAATAATTATGTTCCTCTTCTCAGAGAGGATCATGTCTGAGAGTCCTCTATGGACCTTGTGGTCCTAGGAGAGCATATTTAACTCATCAATATCCTTGGAGACCAGAAACCTGCAAACAGTAAGCAAAAATATTCCCTAGATAAGAAAGGGGATGCTCATGAGAATGGAAGAAAATCTTATTATCATCTATCCAGTGTCATTCAAAACTAGAGATGTAACACATCTTTGAGATCATCGGCCAAAGTCATCGTTTTCAGAAGAGTTGAAGATGAAATGATTTCCTCAAAGCCACACAGTGCATTGGGAACACATTTGGAGCATAAACTAAAACCTAAGGATGGTAAGAATGGTTGTTCTTTAATCTGTATTTCCAGTTGTTCCCCTTTCATGCTTGCATTTCGGTAAAACAGTGACGAAATATCATGGGAAAATGGTTTTCTTACTTTCTGAGATTTTGCTCCTTTCATTCATTTCATTTTCCCTGTTTCCTGAAGGCAATGATTGGATGCAATGACTCCACTATGAATGGATTTGTCCTTGAAGGATTAACAAATCAACCAACACTGCAGTTGCCCCTCTTCCTCTTCTTCCTGGGCATATATGGGGTCACCATAGTAGCAAATCTAGGTATGATCTTCCTTATCACTTTCAATACTAAGTTCCAATCTCCCATGTACTTTTTTCTTGGTAATTTGTCATTCTTGGATCTCTTCTACTCCTCAGTTGTTACCCCAAAACTTCTAGGTAACTTTGTATGGGAAGAGAATGTCATCTCTTATCCCGGATGTATGGCACAGCTCTTTTTCTTCTGTGTGTTTGCCATTGCTGAGTGCTATATGCTGACTGCCATGGCTTATGATAGATTTGTAGCTATCTGTAGCCCACTGCTGTACAATGTCACTATGTCTCGAAAGGTCTGCATTGGGTTGGTGACTGGAGTATACGTCACAGCAACCCTTGGAGCTGCAGCTCACACTATCTCCATGGCCCAACTTTGCTTTTGCAAGCAGACTCTCATCCACCATTACTTCTGTGACATACTTCCTCTCCTAACACTCTCTTGCTCCAGCACCTATGTCAACAAGCTTCTGGTGATACTTGTCGGTGGATTCAATGTGTTAGCAACCACTGTTGCCATCGGCATCTCTTATGCCTTCATACTCTCCAACATTCTCCGGATACCCTCCGCAGAGGGTAGGTCCAAAGCTTTTAGTACCTGTGGCTCTCATCTTACAGCAGTTGGGGTGTTCTATGGATCTATCACATTTATGTATTTTAAGCCACCATCTAGTAGCAGCATGGCCCAGGAAAAGGTGGCTTCTGTATTCTACACCACAGTGATTCCCATGCTGAACCCCTTGATCTACAGCCTGAGGAATAAAGATGTAAAGAATGTGCTGGGCAGAGCAATGAGGAGGAGGTAAGGACCACCCCAGGGCAGTGTTCAGAGCCACTGAAAGTCACGGTAGCTTGCCACTTTGTTTTGTTAAAAACAATCCCTTTCCTGTTTCTTAAAATTAGCAATCTATTCTCATGCCCTTTGTCATAAGTGCTAGAGATCTCCCCATTTATTCATATGTATGCAAACACATACACACACTCATACATTCATAAATTGCACACAAGGACATTGCCAGATTCCTGCAAAAATTAGATTTGTAAGGAAATGGACTAAAAACATATTTATCTTGGTGAGGAAGAACAATGGAAAAATGCTCAGATTTTGGAAAAACCCTCTGGAAGTTCAAAGTTTTCCTACAAAAAAGGCAATGGGAAGCCTGCCTTGTAGAGAATCTCATTCCAGTCCCAGGACTAAGTTTTTTCAGGAAGGAGCTATGGATGCACTATGGCCATGCTAGAGAATCTCCTCTATTCAGGTAGATGGTTTTTACTGCCCCTACATCCAAAGGGGAAATCCCATTTCCAGGTACTCCTGCATTCATCTCACCCTAAAAATCAAACCTAATTGTGGGAAAATTGTCTTTTCTAGCTAAAAATAACCAGACTCAGCACCTGTACTTTCTTCCTACTGCTTTTTTCTCTACTTTACTGAGGTATAATAGACCCACAGTAAATCCTGTGTTCAAAGTGCACAGCTTGGTGAGTGCAGTCATGTGTATACAAAGCCAGTGAGGTAGATGAACCTGCCAGCCCTACAGATTTACTCATTCCTTATCTCCCACATCTCCATGCACTCACCTTCCACTTTGAAATTTCTACATAAATCAAATGATGGAGAAATCGCTACTTTGAATGAAGCTTATTTTACTCAGCGGAAGTATTTGGAACATTAAGGACATTGGATGTACCAACACGTCATTCAATTTTATTGTGGAAATACCAGTTCACTGGATGAGTGTATCATAATGTTTACCTATTTACTTGATGAATACTGTTGTTGTTGTTGCTGTTGTTTCAGCTAAAGATTATAATGAATAAAGGTACTGTGAGTATTTGTATGGAATTCTTTGTAAATGCATATTTTTTTTGTTTTCCTTTCTTCTTGATAAACACGTAAAAGCAGAATGTCTATTTCATTTAATATGTGTGTTTTTAATTTAAAGAAAAAGAAAAATTATCTTGCAAGTTTGTACAATTTTTCATTTTTTCCATAAGCTTGTGAGTATAAACTTTTCTGTTTTTCAATAATATTTGATGTGGTAATTTATAATTTTTGTTATCTTAAACCTAAAAATTTTAACAAGTCCCTAATGACATTTTGTTAAGATTTTATTTGATTCTCTCTGATGAGACTCCATGATTTCATTCTCTAAACAAGCACAACATGATTTCACTCTCTAAATGACCACAACAACCGTGTCTCGGCTGGACTGACTCTAGGAGCCAGGCACCCCATCCAGATCTCCCATGGAGGTGGCACAAACACAGACTTGAGCTGTTGACACCGACCCCCAGTGTCTGCATTAGCAGGAAGCTGGAGTCACAAGCAGTGCCAGGTGCTGAAAAAATTACTTCCAATATGAAGCACAAGTGTCTTAACCACCAGGGTAAACTCTTACCCCCACCCCCAGTACAATAGACTTTGCCTCAAACAGGGTCATAAAAACTTTACATTTTTTTCTAAGTGGTCCACAGTTTCAGTTTATACGTTTTGGTACATAAGGCATTTTGTGTATGATATTAGGTATGCATTTTTGTATAATTGTATTTCATTGTTTTATCACTAGACGTTCTTTTACACTAAGTGACCTTTTCACTCTTGTTGTAAATCAGTTATTGACATATTAAGAAGTCTGTTTTTGGGTTCATCATCCTCCATTTCATTTGTTCGTTCTGATCCAATTCTACACTGTCCATCACAGCAAATTTGCAGTATGTTTTGACATTGAGTAATGCTAATCCTCTTTTTACTTCTTTCCATTATTGTTATGGCTATTCTGAGTCCTTTGGTCTTCCAAGACAATTTTAGAATCAGGATGTCACTAAATTTGCCAACAAGTTTTACTGTGTTAAATGTAAGGATGAATTTGAAGCAGATGCTGTTGTAAGAACAGAGATTTCTAACCTAAGCTTCAGACCCTCTATCTGTTTACATCTTGTCAGAAAACCTATGTAGTTTACAGTATGGAAGTTTAGGCTTTATATATATATATATATTCTTAAGTATTTTTCACTTGTCTAATATTGTAGTAGATAGGTTTTCAACTTTTGGTTGTCTGCTTCCATTTTCACATTATTTAGTATTTTACCTGGAAGCTTTGATCAATGCACTTATTAGTTATAACAGCAGTTTTGACATTTTAATTCATTTTTCTCCAGTTTGTTGTAAACATTGGCATATGTTGGTTTGCTGAACTTATTATGATACTTGGAACTTCCAGCTTTAACTGGAAATAGGAATGATGAAAGAAGATACCATTGTTATTGATTTAGAAAAAAACATACACCATACACCTTTCACAGTGAAGTGTGATGTTAACAAATTAACAATTAACAGTAGATGTTTCACAAATGTCCTGTATCAATTAGTAGAGGTTTTATTTCTAGATTTATAAAAGAAACTTAAGTTGGAAAATTACATTTCCTTATATTATTAATACTTATTCTGAGAATAATAAAATGTCTTCTGTGGTTCTTAAAATACCATATGACCTTGACTACTTGTTGCTAAATTATTATTAAATTCCTAGGACATATCAAATTTTGACATGCATTTTGTTTTTAATGCATTGTTAGATTTTCTTTGTTCAGAATTTTGCACCTGCTTAAGGTGGACATTTGTAGTTTTCTTTTCATGCAGTGGTTTTTTTCAGGGGTCAGTATCCACGCAGCTCTATCCTGAGAGAGTAACTTAGGGAGTGTTTCCTTTTCCAAATTATTAGCACAGTTTGTATTTGATGGCATTTTGGTTATTATTTATAGTTATTGGTATTTTTTCTTTATTGAAAAATTAAAAACATTTACTATAAAACAATCTGTATCTGGGTTTTTCTTTTTGTATACAAATTACTGATTCAATTTTTTAAAAATTAATTCCATTTTATTTTGTAACACAGTTTCATAAGCTCTGGTATTCCCCCAACTCTTCCCTGTACCTTCCACTCATGGTGGATTCCTGTATTACAGTTCAAATCCAGTCAAGATTCCTTCATTGCAAGCATATACCAAGCATAGAGTCCATCATCTTATTGTCCAGGTAAATTCAATGGTTTCTTGCCGAGACTATCTCTGGTCTGAAGGCAGAGCTGGCAGAATATCATCCGGTCCAATTAAAAACCCCAACATAATATCAACAACAATTTATAACAGTATGGAGTTAATTGACATGGTATTGAGTAACAAATATGTTAAAAAATGCAAGTTCTTAAGCACATCCTGTGACTACTTCACTGACATTTCAATTTTAGTTTATATACAACTGGCTTCTGTACACCTTAAAATGGCTATAGGGTACTATTCAGCTGTCTCATGTCTATTTTCATTTTAGTATTTGGCAATTTACATTGTTGAAGTATACTTTCGCTGAACTTGGCAGATTTGAGGATATTCTAAGCTGGCTTATACCTGTAACAAGGGCATATGTCAACAATTGAGGTGCAGAACAGTTTTAGGAGGGGTGTGTAGAGAAATCTTCAATTCCTTAGTGAGGAGTAACTAATCTTTGTGTCCTACCTAGTAAGGTATATGTGAGTCCACACTGACCATTTCCTGCCTGGCTGTAAGCTTTCCTTGTTTTTCTCTGTCTATCTATTCTAATTTTTTTAAATTTTGGGGTTTTTTTTTTTTTTGGATGGGAAATGCCTCTAACAAGAAATAATCCTTGGTAGTGCTTATGCTTTGGGTTTGGGGTATTTTATTTTATTTTATTGTTTGATTACACATTGTGTTTTTTTCTAAGTGATGTGGTACAGCCTAAAAAGTTTTTATAGTGGTTAAAGAATCTGAGCAACTCTACACATGTCCTACCCAATATTCAAATTATAAAGAAATTCAATCATTTTTCACATTTGAATTATTTTGATTTTTTTAAATTTTTGCATTGGAATTTACTCTTGCATACAGCATAGGTATACATCTCATTTATTCTTTTTCCAAATAGATATTTTCAGTTTCTGGGATTATTTATTAAAAAGCAACCCATCTCAGAGCTACCATTGTAGTGTAATAGGTTAGGCTGTGACTCACATCCTGTACCAGTATACTGGGAAGGAGTATCTACAATTCAGTTTCCTGTTAACTTACTTGGGAGGCACAAATAATGGCTCCTAACTCTGGGCTTCAGCCTGATCCAGCTCCAGATTCCGTATTGTTTTCCTCTCTTGCTCTTTTTATGTATTTAGTTGTTCTTTTTTGTCTTATAGAATCACTTATTCCCCCCTCATAAGGGTTTTGACAGTTCTTTGTGAAATCTGTTTACAGTTTTTCTAGTAGCTTGTTGCTACTGTAAATGAATTCTTCTGTTGTAATTATTTTTACTGATTCATGATAGCATACTCACTAACAACAGCAACAAAAAGGAATGAAACATCATTTTTTTTTTATTTTCCCATCTAGTTTCACTAATCACAGCCCTCTCAGGAATTTACCTCTGCTGACCCCAGACTCTTGAGCAGTGTCCCACATGGACTCCAACTTCTCATACCTATAAGTTGATAGGAGAAGCACATACCAACTTTGAGGGAGTGCCTGCAAATGAAGACTGATTTATCTCTAACACAAAAGCCAACTAATTAATTCTTGATCCTATGAAACAGGAGTCAGCAGCCCAACAGCAAGCTTAGACTATGATTTTTGAGTTTCCAAAGTACCCTCTTGAGGCTGGCATGAGACTGGCATTGTGACGTAAGGGGTGAAGCCAGCATCTGCAAATGCCGGCATTCCACGTGGGTGCCAGTTTCTGTTTTGCCTGCTCCACCTCTGATCCAGATGCCTGTCAATAGCTTGAGAAAAGCGGTGATACCCCATGTGCTTAGGTCCACTCATGTAGGAGACTCAGATTACGCTCTTGGTTCCCGGCTCCTGGCTCTGGGCTCCAGGCATCTGCCTTGCCAAACCCTGGCTTTTGGCTCTAAGGAATGAAATGGAGGCTGGAAGTTCTCTTTCTCTTTCTCTTTCTCTTTCTCTTTCTGTGTCTCTAACTCTAACTTTAAACTAAAAATAAACATTTCAATAGCAATAATATAATAAAAAGACCATTTCTGTTTCCCATTAAGAATAGTTGTAAAATACACCTTCTTTATGCAGGTATCTATTGCCAGAGACCAGCTCCGGCTGACTGAGAGCTTGCAAAGGATGCATGGATCAGCGAGATGATAGGAAGAAGAAATAAGACACAGACCACTATGAATGACATGATGCTCATAATGGAAAACTCAGAAAAGTTGCCTTCTTTATTTATACACAAATCATCACAAGCTTTTGCACAATATCCAATTGTTTCATTTTTACTTCATGGTTAAGAGAATACAAAAAACAATACTAAGGAAAATATTTTCAACAAACCATTACTCATTGAAACCTGCAGTCACCTGGCTGAAGCCAGGAACTCCACAGTTGACCGTATATGTGGTTACATAGCGACAAGTGGTTTACTTATACTCAAAATCAATTTTTACTAAACACAAACTAATATTGCTTGAAATATTAAGAGTACAGAATTAAAAGATCATAAATGAAAGGATTTTATAAAAGCATATAACACAGATTCTTTGCTAAATCTTATAATCAAATTATGCATTAATTACCATCACCTTCACCTAGTGCTGATTCAATTGTTTTTCATTCTTTTTGTTAAAGGGCAGTGAAAGGGATCAAGGCAGCTCAGCCAATCTACAAAGGGCCTTTACAAGAAACTTTCTTTCATCTATGTAAACTGTTTTCTTTCCCTAAATATAAGTGCCAATATAAGATAAAGATTTTAAACCATTTTGAGGGGGTTCACATCTATTTCCTTATAAAACATGCCCCATATAATTTTGCTTTCTGTGGTAAGAGACTAAAATGCGGCATATCATGTGTTGCAACAGTTCAAGGTGCATGGTAAACAAACTCTTTGTACCTCCATGATTGCCATCTGTTCCAAGATATTATCAAGCCATTTCTTAAGGAAAACATTAATTATATTAGGGCAAATTTCAGGACAAAAGTGGGCACATAACAGGATGTTTGGAAACATAGTGGGCTCAATTGTGCTATTGTATACTTTTAGCTGTGTGTCATAGCCTTACATTACTAAAGGTGTTTTTTATCATAACATGATTGATCAATTTGAGATGTCATACCAGTTACAGGAATCACTTCACATTAGCAGAAAAACAACACCACCACCCTCAGAAGAATTCTATGAAACATCAGAGAGGTGATTGAGTTCCATACAATGGGGTGAGGCAGCAATGAGGTGACCAGGAACATTCTGCTGAGCCTTGCCTCGCAGCCAGAAACTTCTCGCAGCCTTGCTAACTGAGGAGCAGTGCTCATCACACTCCCATGCCATCCGACCAAACTGCATGGCTCCCCACAATCTATCTTCTGTTTTACAGACCATTTTAATGAGAAGAGATTAAAAAATCTGAGTTTAGGCATGGTGCGGTAGCATAGAGGTTAAAGTCCTCACCTTGCATGCACTAGGATCCCATATGGGCAACAGTTCTAATCCTGACAGCCCCACTTCCCATCCAGCTCCCTACTTGTGGCCTGGGAAAGCAGTCAAGGATGGCCCAAAGAATTGGGACCCTGCACTCATGTGGGAGACCCAGAGGAGACTCTAGGCTTCTGGCTTCAGATCAGCTCAAATCTAGCCATTGTGGCTGTTTGGGTAGTGAATCAATGGAAGTAAGCTTTTCCTCTCTGTCTCTCCTCCTCTTTATATGTCTGACTTTACAATAAATAAATCTTTTTGAAAAATCTGATAATGGCTTATTCTTAACTTGTAGGCGTTTTTATATTTTTCTTTTATCTTTAAATTGATCAACATGAGGTATTAAAGGATATTAATACAAGAAAATGCATGATTATTCTAAAGGGCCAGGTTTCTACAAAGCTGACACCTGCAGTACTAGTATTCTATACTGAGTCATAGTTGCTCCACTTTTGGCCCAGCTCCCTACTGAATCTTGGGAAAAGCAGAAGAAGATGGTGCCTGCTACTCATGTCGAGATCCAGAGGACGTTCTTGGCCCCTGGCTTCAGCCTAGCCCGGTGCTAGCTGTTCCAGCCACACAGTGAACCACCAGATGCAAGAGTTCTCTCCCTCTTTCTCTCTGCTTTTCAAAATAAATAAGTAAATCTGCTTTTAAAAACATTGTTATGTTAATTCAAAATTTAAAAAATGTGTTTATCTCCCCAAACTGTAGCTATATTTTTGTTAGAGTTCATGATAGGCAGAGCTAATTAATGGTCTCCAAAGGCAAAAAGGACTCCTGCACAGTTAATTAGTGATCATTTCAGAATGTATATAAGTTGATCCTTGTAGCTTATGTCTTTGGCCTCTTGCCCTAACACATTTCCTAAACCTAATTGTCTCACTCTTTTTGTCCTTCCCACCCTCCTTCCTTCCAATCTTTCTCTCCTTTATTCCTTTATTCCTTCCTGTTTCCCTCCTTACTCATTTCCTTTCTTTCTTTCATTCTTCCTTGCTTCCTTCCTCCCCTTTATTCCCCTTTCTCTTTCTTTCCTTCCTTCCTTCCTTTTTTTTTCTTTCTTTCCTTCCTTCTTTCCTTTTTTCCCAACTCTCTCTTAGCATTGTTCTACCCTCTATAATCTACCCACAAGTTGTTCTTCACTATAATACACCTATCACAACTCCATTTTAAACCTCAGTATAAAGTATTTAGGAATAAAATAAAATAATTAATAAAAAAAAACCCTTTTGTCAGCAATTTAAAGACACTCCTCTTCCTGCCCTCCGGAAATTTTGATTTTCCAATTAGAATCATCTTATCTCCAACACAGCCCTTCAGTCACTCACTAGTTCTCAAGCATTTTCAAAATTCATGTTCTCCATATAAATTTGGGGGTGATAAGTTTTGGGGTGTTTTTCCCTTCTTCTGTCACCACATTTTAATACATTTCAAAGAAAATCATGTTATTTGGTAATCTCCAAAAACATCTAAATAATTCTCACATACAAGTATTTTTGCTTCTCAGGAAGAGAGCAAAATTGGTTGACTTTCCTCCCTCCATGGGAGAGCTCATCTTGTCAAGCTAACTGCCTTCCCCTGACAACTCTCCTGAGTGCAGTCTTCACATCTTTGTTCCTGAGGCTGTAGATCAGAGGGTTCAGCATGGGGATGACTGTGGTATAGAACACAGAGGATACCTTCTCCTCTTCCAAGGTAACACTGGAGGGAGGCTTGAAGTACATGAAGGTGATAGATCCAAAAAAGATGCCCACAGCCATGAGGTGGGAGCTACATGTGCCAAAGGCTTTGGACCATCCCTCAGTGGAGCGAATACGGAGGATATTGGAGAGAATGAAAACATAGGAAATGAGGACAGCTAGTGTAGGTGCTAAGGTATTAACTCCTCCAATAATAAACAGCAGTATCTCATTGATTTTGGTACTGGAACAAGACAGGGCCAATAAAGGAAGAATATCACAAAAATAGTGACTGACAACACGGGACCCACAGAAGGACAACATTGACATACGGGTAGTATGGACGGTGGCCCCAAACAAACCTAGTGAGTACACCACAACCATCATGATAGAACAGACCTTATGGGACATGACAGTATTATAAAGCAGTGGGCTACAGATTGCAACGTAACGGTCATATGCCATGACTGTCAGAAGGTAACCTTCTGCAATCACAAAAATAAGGAAGAAATAAAGTTGAGCCATGCACTCCAGAAAGGAGATGGTGTTCTTGTCTGACACAAAGTTCACCAGCATCTTAGGAGTGATGACTGAGGAGTAACACAGGTCAATGAAGGACAAATGACTGAGAAAATAGTACATTGGAGAATGAAGTTGAGAACTGATAGAGATTAAGAGGATCATGCCCAGGTTCCCCGTGACTGTGGCCAAATATATTCCAAGGAAACACAGAAAAAGGGGAAGCTGGAGCTCTGGGCAGTTTGTTAACCCCTCAAGGATAAACTCAGTCACTGAAGAAAAGTTAGAGGCAGCCATTTCTTACAAGACACCTATGGGAAAGAATCAAAGAGGGTAGTTAGTCAGTTTCACATTCCCAAAGCAGAACACCATGCCCTCTTGGCCGATTCCCTCCCAGATAACTCCATCTAGCCAATAATTTGGCCGTTTCTAGGAACCTCTTAACACTCAAAAACAATGACCCTGAGTGCAACCCACAGTTCAGATTCTGCTCAAACTTCTTGAATGTTCTGTTTACATCTGAACATCTTTGTTTTATGCTTATAGTCATAACTACCTCACTTTTAGAAAAAGCATAAACAATCCAGATCTAATCACATTTTTTAAAAAGACTGCTTACCTCGCTTATCTGAGCATCTCCCAATAGCACCTTCAGACTTTGCTACAACATGGCTTCCCATCTAGTCCTGATGATTTAAATGCAGTTCACTTCCATTTCCCACCTTGTCTGCATCAACTAGCAGAATCAAGCCTCTTAATCTAGAGCCAAGAAACAGGTTCAAATGTCTGAATTACAAAAACGGCTCTAATCACTTCAGATACTCATTCCCTCATTTCCATTTTCCATTCTCTAAAGAGAAAACAAGAGGAAACCAGGGCATTTTGGTTGTTCTGTTTTATTTTGTTTGTTTTGTTTTCAGTGTGGACATGACTAATGCAACTGTGGAATCAAGGGCTATTAAACTATTAGTTTGAACTTCATTGCAAAATAGAAAGGTAAGGGAGACTTTCTGGTCCAAAATCTGAACCATCAATGAGTCAGTGCCAGTCTCCTTGTAATGCCTTGCTGTGCATCATTTCATATTAAATTCTCATTGACCTTTCTTTCTAAAACCTGCTAGTTTGGAACTGGAGAATTTCCTATGCTCTGACTCAGCTTCCCCTGAAGTTCATGCAGAGTTGAGCCAGTAGAATTTGCCTAAGTCATCAAAATTAATAATTCTCATTTGATTATCTGAAAAGTATAAAATATTCCCTGGTTTTGTGATGCTCAAGAAAGAAAACAAGGAAGAGAGATAGGATATTTTTGGCTACCATCCAGTTAATGAATGTACCAAATTTTGAATAGACTCACTCACACATGGCTGATTAAATTTCCTTTTATCAAACCACACAATGTAGAAATTATTACTGTTAGGAAGATTGTCCAGAGATGAAAATCAGAGCAGACTGTTTTTCTGCTGAGACTAAAACTGCTCATGTCAGGTTGCACTGAGCTGGTTGGTTATGTTTTAACAAAGCCCTATTGATTGAGGGAGTGATAAATCAGCAGTGATAGTTAATCAGGAGCATTTATCTGTTGACTTAAAATCTCAAGGTTACCTAATCTCAAATGTCAGTGAAACACTTTATGAAACCAAAATAAATGTCACAATATACATTTACTAAGGTTTATTCCATATTGGCCCTCTCTTAGTGTCATTTCATGTTAATTGAAAGAAGTGAGGCACAAACAAATGCGGACTGTGTGGTTCCATTTATTGTAAACTTCCCCAATGCAGCAAGCACTCCTACCCAAAGGCGTAAATGTGAAAGCAGTTGAGTGCATTGCTTAAACGTCATGGAGAGAACAGTGTATGCTTTTGGCCCTCATCAAGAAGAGTATTATCTATCCACTGAAAAACCAAACAAGTAAATGAATAAAAAATTATACATTGCAGAGGTCTGCAGGATATCATGCTCTTTTTTGTTTAGATTAAAGCTGTATTTCTAATTTTACTGTGTTCCTGCCCTGTTGTTGCAATAAACCTCTCAGATAGGCCCTATGCACATACCAGAATGAAGTCATTAAATCTTACAAATTTACTCGAGCATGTTGACCATTTTTAAGCACAGTGCTTAAAAATGCCTGCTAAGTCATCCAATCCCACTATTGGATGTAGAGTTAAAGGAAATGAAGTAACAATTCAAAGATACATGTGAACATTTATTGCAGCACAGCTTACAATAGCCAAGAGATGAAATCAATCCTAATGGGGAAACAGGGTGGTATACCATATACACCATGCAATATTATTGGCCTTAACTTCTTTAACTTTGACAATGATGTATGCCTAACAGCCAAGTCAGAGCTTAAGTCTGGCAATTTGATATGACAATTTTCAACTATGTTTTTGATTAGGCTTAATGTAAGCCATCAGCAGAAGAAATATAGTCCATGCAAACCAGGGTAACAGATGTCAGGACAGCAAGGTATTAAAATCTGTGGCTCTGCAACACTTGGCTGGCTCGGTAATGTTCAGATACAAAATATTGAAACAGAAATGTACACAATGGGAAATCTAATCAAATATGAAATCTTCCATGAACACATATGGAGAAAATGAGTAAATTAATCTAAAGTTAACATTTTTCTGCATGAAAAGTTTACAGAACAGTTATCCTTTCTTGCAATGCATAAAACTGCAATCATTCAAAAAATAAATGAACACAATCTCAAAAATGAAACGAACTCCATACCATAGCGATCACAGTAATAAGGGCTTTAAAAATACGCACTTTTCTTGAAGGTAAAACTTGATTTTACCACTTACCAGCTCAGTAATGGTCTGCAAATATTATGCATGACTTAATACATTCATCTAGGAAGCTGTAACAATACAGGATTTTATGATAATTGAAAGAGTAAATGGAGGCTAAAAAGGAAAATCTTGATATGCATTAAATGTAGGATAATTGGTAGACAAAATTAATCCAATATCTACAAGAACGTAAAATTGGAATATGGAAGTAGTGCCAATCCAAACTCCACCTAAGATTTCTATGACCTGCTGAGAAACTGATATTTTTTTACCTTAAGACACTTGCCTTCAAAAGCCGGAAACCTGATTTTATTTGGAAATATTTAAGTGGGACTTAGAACTAGACAACTATTAATTCCCAAAGGTTTCCAAAATCTCTCAAGACTTCCTTCTGTTTGTCATACACAATTTAAAATCAAATTAGAGCCCCACATAATCACAGGAAGATTTCATCACCCAAGAGATTTATCTGTTCATACAAATAAAAATAATTAAAGATAAATTATTATTTTGTCCTTCCTACAAACCTCTAGAAGTTACTAAATGTTTTAATAAATGTAATTATGCTAATAAACCTTTGTCTGAATTTCTACTCTGGTCACTCACCCTAGCTCAAGCCCAAAATGATGTGCAGTCTTGGAATGCTCCTGAGTTTTTTCAATATAATAAACTCCTTTCTCTGACAGAAGTCAACAGGGGCATGCACAGCCTTAAACATAATTGGTTTTCTTGTAGGCACCAGATGGTTGGGTCTTGTTTGATGATCCATTCTATTAATCTCTGTCTTTTGATTGGTGAATTTAGACCATTTGTGTTGAGAGTTAAAATTGAGAGGTTGCAATTTTGCCCTGCCATGCGATTGTGTTTTGTGTGTGTTGTTGTCTGTGTAATTGTCTTGTTTGTGCGGGCTTTAGTTTGGAGACCTTCTTATTTGCCAACTTTGTTTGTGGTTTGCCTCCTTTTTTTCCGGGACTAGCGCATTTCTAAGGAGACTTTGCAGAGCTGGTTTTGTGTAAACATATTCTTCTAGTTTTTCTTTGCTATTGAAGTATCTGATTTCGTTCTCATATACAAATGAGATCTTTGCTGGGTAGAGAAGAAGTCAAGCTTTCACTATATGCAGATGACATAATCCTATACATAGAAAAACCAGGAGACTCAATACAGAAACTACTAGAACTTATACGAGAGTTTGGCAGAGTGGCAGGGTACAAAATTAATGAACGAAAATCAACAGCCATAGTGTACGCAAATAACACCAAGATGGAAGAAGATCTAACCAACAGGATACCATTCAAAACAGCAGAGAGAAGTATGAAGTATTTGGGAATAAATCTAACCAAAAGCGTAGGAGACCTATTCGAAGAAAACTACAAACTATTTAAAAAGGAAATTGAACAAGACCTCAAAAGATGGAATAACATCCCATGCTCCAGGATAGGCAAAATCAATATCATTAAAATGTCTATACTACCACAAGTAATATATATTTTCAATGCAATTCCAATCAAATTGCCCAAAACATTCTTCAAGGAACTGCATACAATGATTCAAAAGTTCATCTGGAAGCACAAAAAACCACGAATAGCTAGAACCATCCTGAAGAATAAGAAGTTAGCAGGGGGAATCACAATCCCGTACCTCTGGACATACTATAGAGTAGTGGTTATCAAAAATCTATCTGAAAATGGAATTAAAAACTTGGCACACTTTGGTGTAAAAAAGTAAGATCTATGTGTAGTTTTTCATAGTACATATTTTCTTCTTTTTTTAAAAAAGATTTATTTTATATTTATTGCAAAGTCAGATATACAGAGAGGAGGAGAGACAGAGAGGAACATCTTCTGTCCATTGATTCACTCCCCAAGTGACCACAATGGCCAGTGGTGCACTGATCTGAAGCCAGGAGCCAGGAACTTCCTCCAGTTCTCCCACATGGGTGTAGGTTCCAAGGGTTTGGGCCATCCTCCACTTCTTTCCCAGGCCACAAGCAGGGAGCTGGAAGGAAAGTAGAGCAGCTGGGACACGAACTAGTGCCCATATGGGATGCAGGCAGATGTAAGGCAAGGACTTTAACCACTAGGCTAATGTACCAAGTTCCTGTTTTTCAAAAGTATTTTAAACATCATGGGATCAAAATAGCCTCAAAACAATTAGTTTCTGTTATTTGAAAGTGAGGTTGTCCTTTCTGAAAGAAATTCACACACACATAGACATCTGCCTTAAAAATCCATACCAAGACAGTTTTCAAAGAAGTTCCAGGTCTTTTCCTTGCAAGGAAATGGAATGATATGGGTATGATACAGCTTATATTTAGAGCCTTTTGTGGAACATAGATAGGATTCTAAGACAATAACAATTTTTGTGGGAAGTTGTTTGGATCAGTGATTAAGATTCCTGAAGTGATATAGAAGTGATGGGGTTTGACAATAGTGATCTCTGATAAATTGATTTGGTTTCTTCACTCTTGCTCTCAAACTGACTAAATCTATATAGCTATAT